CGCCCATGGGCGAGACATGATGTTAGACATTACTCCGCCCACCCGACCAGCGTGGGCTGCCCCTCTATGTTGCTCGAACGGATTTCAAGGCTCCATCCCGGCTTAAAATTTCCGATAAATGATGAATACGAAAAACTATATCTACTCCTGAAAGAAACATCCTAGTAATCGATTTTCTGAGCTAAGGCAGTAAGTACTTCAAGCTTAGGGGAGATTTTTAACAATCGCCAGTTTCTCCTGCTATTTCTAGTGGGAATGCAGACGTCACTGTGATGAAGTCTGTAAACTCTTGCCAAGTGCCTAACAAAGCTCGTGCAGCTTCACAAGAGTTTACAGGTTTCACAGGAGGCACCGGCAGTGATCAATGTGAACCAGCGAAATGCCCCCACCAAGCCAGACTGCACCCAGTTTCGACTTTAGCTTTAAATTAAAAACTCTATCACTTGCGTTACGCTCACTGAATATGGCCTGCCTGCTGTTTCATAACAATCTCGTTGTCTTCAACATCCATCTCATTCATCTCCTATTGTTTTACTCCTACCATTTGATAGAACAGTATCTCAACTTCCTCTCACCGTTTCAGTTTGATCGTGCTGTGCATCGCCTTTACGCCGACCCGGGTCATATTTGTACGAACCAACTAGCAGATCGACTTTTCCAGCGCCTCTATTGGGCCTTACGAGCCGTGCAATTTAAGATTTTCTACAAAAACGAAGGTTAGCAATGACGGCAGTAACACCGTTGTGTCGGGAATCGTCATTTCCAGAACTGGACGTGGACGATATTTCCGATCGTGGAGAGGTCGGCGTACGACCGCCGCCGCTTGACGAACTCGTCAGAACGACTCGATTCAGCCGCCGATGGATCAAGTACATGTATGCGAAATTCAAAAATGTGAGCAGTACTATTTTCTAAACATTTGGATCACTAAAGAGCTACTAAGGAAACTTAAATTCTGGCAAGACCCGCGAATATACCTGAGGCGCATTGAGGGATGCGATGGAAACATTGCAAGAAATGTCACGTGCGCGGCATTCGCTCCAAGACCTGATTCAATGTTGCGGCGGGTCAAATCATGGAACTGGGGAAAACACTTCCAGTTGTCGATATCGTGCTCAGATGCAGCAGAATGCACTCTTCCCACCAACCTAATACTCATTTTAATTTTTTTGCGCCATCCAGTCGTTGAATTCCTATAACCCTAAAAAACCTCCTGAAAACCTATTCTAAGGGCTATTCATTGCCATAACAACTACAGCAAGAGCTCAATCAGTAAAAAAAAATCTTTTTTCCAGGAATGCCCAACTGGTCGAATGTATGAGCCAGAATTTCGCCGGGTTCTTGCATCCATCATCGCACCCGAGAGGGCAACCGATCAGTACTTTTCGCGACTGTTTAATGCCTTCTCAACAGATGACAAGAAATCGGTTACATTCCAAGTGAGTAGGAAGCAAAAAAGTATTCTACGTTATTCTATTCTAAAAAGTGTTCTAATGTGGACCAGTGGCAAGTGGAGCCGTTATCAGACGCTTTGTGGGAGCTAATTCTATTATTTATCCCGCCTAGTCTAGACGAACTTTGGGCCCCAATAGCATTGAGGGGGCACGCCTTTTTCTATGTGTGTCTCTGTCTTTGTTTATATTTT